TTGGTAGAAACATAGTCAAATGACCTAAAAATGCAATTTGCAACCAAAGGTTTTTAGAGGAACTGTGGACTGCTTGTAAATGTTATTTTGTCACGCAGTGCATCAGGTTCGTACACCGATAAGCACGGAATTTGAATTCGCCTTTAAGTGTCCAATTGATGAGCGATTAATTAAGGTGATTGTCAATATTTCATGTAAGAGCTATTGGCCTTCAATCACCCAGGCTAAACTCGTTTTTTACTTATTGATAGCTATATTACAAAGCTAAAATAAATAATTCATGAATTCTATGTTAATTTTAATGATCCGGAATATTAATTTAAATTTAATTTCTACGGATAAATAATTGGAATATATATGCGTTCATCTCGTAACAGATGATACAAGCATAAGTTATTTATATCAAATGGCAGGCGTTTTGACAGTTATCATTAGCCCCTTAGTTGACTTCAGGCTTCACAGAGGGAAAGGAACATCAAATCGAAAAAAAGTCGAGAGGGGAGGGTGAACAGAAGAATGTTTTAAAGATGTAAAAAAGAGGCACAAAAGTAGAAAAAGGTAGGAAGAGTACTGTGGAAGAAGTCGAATATGACATACAGTGGGGTGATGGTAGTTTGAAGTGAGAAGTCAATTGCCGGTTAATAGACATTTTTGCCGTATGAGTATACGTTACCCAGGGTGCACTACGTGGAGGTAAGTCTATCGCACACCCCACAAGCATAAGTTATGACTACATATGAACAAGTCTCCGGCGAAAAAACTTTTCATTAAAGCTGTTCCCGAATTTAACCAAGTTACGCCGAGGAAATCGAACTTTTGGAGTGAGGAGTGTCCATTGAGGTTTCAATTTAACTTTCACAAAGCCCATTGAAGTGTCTATTGATTGCCTGTTGGCAACACGTGCTCGATACGAGATCGGTAGCACGGCCGCACCTTCAAGACTGTTTTGGTGAGAGTGAGATTCCATCCACCAGCCTACATATTTACATCAAAAAAATCGTTCTGATCATTTGCTTCTACAAATATTTATTTATATCAAATGGCAAGCTTTATGATAGTTATCATTAAACCTTCAGTTGACTTCGGGCTTTACAGAGGGGAGGAACATCAAAGTCACAAAAAGGTAGAGGGAGGATGAGCAAAAGAGTGATTCACAGTCGTAAAAGGGACAGACAGATACAAAGGTTGAGAATAAAGGTAAGGTATGGTGAGTACTGTGGAAGTGGTCGAATATGACATAGACTAGGGTCATGGTAGCTTGAAGTCAGAAGTCAACTGTCAGTTAATAGAATTTTTGCTATTTAAGTATGCGTTGCCCAGGGTGCACCATGAAGAGGTAAGTCTAACGCATACCCCGCACTGCACAACACAATTGTGTGTTTACTCATTGATTTCTTATCCCACTTTGCCTGTTTCCATTCCTCATTATCACTTGGGTTAAAGTTCGCATTATTTCCCATACGCACTATATTTAACTCATTACCTTGACTTAGTCAACACTATTGAGCATGCTTAAAACTTAAAAACATGTGAATGAAGTTGCCCTATCGAATCTTCAGTCTTGAATGAGTGGATAATAATGCCGAAGCTTAACGAATGTGAAAAGAGTATTAACGGATAAAGGTGATTTATAAAGCTTTATCATTTTCTTTTAATTACAACTTTCAACGTATCCCATCTTTATGGATTTGTTATTCAAGCCCCACTTATTTTTACCCACTATTCGCTCCACATCGTCTGTCAGCTTATGGGGCTTGTATCTTCCGATTGTGGTTTGTCAGACCTGTTTCCATTGCCTTCATCGACAGTAGATGTTATATATTACCTTGAAAGTGGGAACGAAAAGACCTCGCCTACAGCATCAAATGGTGAACACATAGATGTAGATTAGTTGCCAGTCTACAAGAGTAGACTCAGTCATTTGAACGTGGCTGATGGTCCGGGAAGAAACGCCAGTTCAATCATTATTGAACCAATACTACAACTACTTGAGGGATCTCATTTGTTCTCAGTACTCACCTCACCTTTTTTCTACCCTTGTGTCTGTCTATTTTACATATTTGAAACACTCTTCTGTTCCCCCCCCCATCTCGACTTTTTTCACTTTGATGTTCCTCCTCCTTTCTATGAAGCCCGAAGTCAGCTAAGAGCTAGTGATAACTATCAAAACGCCCTCCATTTGAAATAAATAAATCATCAATAGCATATGTTCCAACATGCTATGAGCGGCATAATGTTTCGCCACAAATCAGACGGAGAACAAAAAACGAAAATGTGAATTAAGTTAGGAATGAAATCATTTTAGTCACAATTAAAGTTATTATTATTTACAAAAAAACAGCAAATATCAGAGCGTTTTAATGTACTCCTTTAAGAGCCAGATGATCCTAGTTCTTGGGCTTCCTTCCCTCGCCTACTAATCTCCGCCAGGTAACTATTACTCGGCTTCCATATAGTAGAGCCACGTTCACCACCTCCACACCGTAAAACCTGAAACGTGAAAAGGAGATTATATCAACGTTTTGAAACCCCCAATTCGAAAAATTATAAATCTTTTGTTCAAATAAGGCATTCAAGAAAAGCAGCAAAGCTCGAGTGATTATTGAATGTAATACATTGTGAGTGGATCCTAGTGACCTCTGGTAAAAATAAAACACCGGAAATAGGTTGAACACGATGCCTTTGGAATTAAATTATGAAAGAAGAAAATTAAAGATATGGGTTTGATACTGGAAATTTAATTTTTCATTAAAAAATGTTTCCAGAATTCAAATAAAGTAGGAATCTTGATGACCTCGTTGCAGCATTAACTTTAATGTTGTTGTGATTAAGGCTTGGAGTATTTGCTACATCAAAATGAGATGGCAACAATAACAGGTGGAGTTCATTTTCTCTTTTAGAAATAGATGTAAGTCCTTTAGAATTCAATTTATTTAAAATTAGGCTGCACATTTGTGAGTAGAAATCTGCTGGATGCAAGCACATTGAAACTCACAGAAAAAACAGGTCAGTACAAAATGCAGAACTGGCACAAAAATTTACAAAGGTTTTCAAGTTACCATGACTACCATAAACGGAATCCCAAAAATCACGTAAACCTAAAATCTACTAGACATGAAGACATAGCATATGGAGCCACGATTTCACCCTCAAAACCTACATTAAACGCATTTCTACTGCAAAAAAAACCATGTTATATAGGAGAGAGAGAGAGAGAGATTCAATAGATGTATGCAATTAAAAACCAAAAAAGAGGAATTTATTGGACGTGGTAAGAGCTTAAAAAAATTTACTAACTTTTAATTTAAAATTGTGGAACTTTCGAGAAAACAGAGCTTCAGGCGTTGTAAAGTGGGAGGCAAGGGATTAGAGCAATATAAATATATGGTTTAAGGAAAATACAAAGACCACTCGCAGGTTGTCTATCTGGAGTCTAAGTCAACAACAGAAAAATACAATCAAAACTAACTTAAAGAGATAAATCTAACTCCTTAGTGCAGTGACGACCAAGCTAAATAAATAATTAGTATGTTGACGTTCTGAGTGCGCTCTACTTCTGCTTGACTCTGCAATTTCGTCGCCAATCATGGTTTATTGCAGAAATTCATTGACTCTTCTTGAGAAAACAACTTTGTCAGGTAATAGGTAAAATAGACATAAGTTCAGAAACAAGACCTTTGAGGGGAATAAACAAACCATCCTTAGTATCGCACTCAATCAAGCAACTACATAGGTACGTCCATCTTTTGCGCTACAGGATCCACACTTCAGTTGACCATTCCCAAATCAAGGCACCTTAACGGAACGGAGAGAGCATGCCACTATTAATAAAAACCTTAAGGTATAAGTCAAGCTGGAAAAGGAACTCTTTCTTCAATGTTCTTGAACCTGGAAGCTATACAAACCATTGTCAAAATCGTGTCCTTAATGCGACAACTGTTTATGAAAGACTGGATGGGAAATCCTCGATCAATTATTAATGAAAACAATCAGTCTGAACCTGCAAGAAGTACACCAATAATCCCCTGAGTATGAAATAGGTAGTCGAGAAGGAATATGGAACCAGAAAACGAGTTTCAAGCACGAATTAAAAGAGTGTTTTCCTTGACTAAGCTAAAAACTATCCCTTATTGCGTTCTACCCTGTTCACTGACTGGGATATTGGTTTGTAGGTAGTAAAACCTTTAATCAAGCTGCCAGTAAAAATTATACCATACCACTCAACCGTTCCTGAAATCGGAACTCCTGAATAAGAGCGTTTTATGGCATTCGCATTAGACAAAAAGAGGAGATATCCGTCTACACTCTTTAAATTGGAGGTGGTTAGTTGATTGACATAAATACCCCTGACGCGATGGGATTATGCTCTGGCTGTTACGTCATTGGTGCTCAGATAAAACTCACTGCGTTGCACAACTAATTATCAGTGGGAGTAACTCAACCTTATACTTAGAGGTGTTGGGTAAAAGTGGACACCATTAATACAGAATGAAAGGAAATTCATCGAGTGAGGCCTACTTAGCTAAAAAACACTTCAGGTGGTAACAATAAGCAGGGAGCTTTTTTCGAGTTAGTAAAAACAATAAGTTAATCCAATAAGGAAGTAAAATGAGCAAATGATGAAATAAAAAAAATTCTGCACTTTTAAAGCTATTACAGGTGGAATAACTTTTGAGACGCGATGCTGAAATGAAAGTGCTAAAGTGTCAAAACAATAGCACTTTTTAATGGGAAGAAATCATGCTTAAAAAGTGACTCGACCAGTCACAGCCTAAGTATAAACCCAGATCTTGGGCAGTGACAAGTTGTTTAAATCGATCGTAGCGTAGAGTCGACATAAGATGAAAACAAGTAGCTAGAAACCAAATGAGATCCGCCTTAGACTAAGCCACTTCGAATTGCGGAATTTAATTGAATTCAAGACAAACATGCGTGAAGCAGTGTCTATAAAAGCGAGTAAAAGATGGAGTCAATAGCTACATGACACTTTCATTATCGACTTACATGCCAAATAGGAGGCCACCAAGGTGAGCGGCATGATCAATCGGCGATAGTCTATGGAGGAATAGAGCACCGAAACCCTCAAATGCAGCAATAGCCCATGCGGCGTTGCCTGCAGTGAAGGAGTGAGGAATGACATTGACCAGCAGGGGCACGCAGAGAAGGGATCGCGGTTCTAGCATACAGAAAGCCCCCAGAACAGCACATACAGCGCCACTGGCACCTATTGAGGGTATGCGCGATCTACGAGCGGCTTTGAAAAGAACACTCAGGAAGGAGGCAACGATACCTGCAAAAGAATGTACATGAAGGAACAGATCAACTAAAACTAAAATATATGAAGCATAGTTCTATCAGAAGAAGAATCCTTCTGGAAACCCATATTTCTCCAATTACAAGCAGATTAACCATTAAGATCTGCAGTGCTTACTAATCAATCAGGAGGTGTTTAAGCTATAATTTTGGGAGAGACGTAAACAGGGAAGCCTTACATTTTGAAAAACGCATATATGGGAATCCTATTACAAACCAATAATAGATGACGCAGGCCAGACAACGAGGCAAGATGATCTGATAAAATTCATCGATGAGGTGATTTATATAGAAATAGACACTTATTTGTAAAGAAATTACACGAAAATATCTTCTGAAACCAACAGTCTTCTGATCATTAAAAGCTAAATAGATCAATAACCGAATGCCATCTGATAACACTGCACATTAGCGTTGTGCAAATGCTTAAGGCCTGGCTATATAAGCCCCCCCCCCCCCTGGTAAAACAGTTAAGCTATTAGTGATTACATTACCACAATTTTGTAGTTTTCAACATGTTTATAAAAGCAACTCCTTACGATGTGAGATCAGTTTACACGTAATTAGTGCCATCCTATCTAGATAAAATATGACTGCCAAAGATGTAGCAGAATTTGGTTTTAATTAGATTGCAGGATGTTTTCCTCTCTCGATAAATAAGCCGGCAGACCGGCGACCAACATACATGTCTGTAAGATCAAAGGTCACAGTTAATTTCGACAAAATAACAACAGCAACTCCATGGCACTTCACCACTAAGAAGATCAATCATCAATAAAACTTGTTTAAGGGACTCACGAAGCTCACTCCAAAATAGTTTTTACTTCTAAAACATGTATTTTAAAAGAAAAAAAATAATGCCCACTTACCACCACCAAGAAAAACAGCAAAAAATTGTTCCATTCCAAGGACAGGAACAAGAGGCTGAGTGAAGTTATAAAGAACATACATATTCAAAAACAAGTGAAAGAATGTTTGATGAGAGAATATTGAAAGCACCATTGAAGTGGCTGGACAAGCTACAACAAATTGAATTATTTTAAATAAGTTCAATGGAGAAAAAAATTAAACAAAATATTAATCAAGAAACTTACGCCCATAGGGTGAATTGGCAAAATACCGAAGCAATATAGGGCCAAATCTCCGTGTACTGATGAAGGTATATACAACGAAATTTGCAAAGGCAATGGCTGAAACAAACCGAAAAAGTGTCGGTAATCTGTTAATTACTACACGGTAAAGGAATGCTTACCCCAAAAAATGTCCGACGATTTTGGAGGTCTGCCGAAAATTTTAATGAACGCACTTCGAAAGCCTGTGGTGCGATGTCGTGTAACTTGGGGCTCCCAATGCTCATAATTCCATATTATAGCTCCGGCGAAAATTGTATTTACGGAGACAAAGGTGAAAATGCCACAACGAAAAACTTTTTTGAACACGTGTGAACCATTTGCGACGGCAACTCGCTGTCTGGCACCAAGACCAGGAGTTCTTTCTACACGTGGATAAAGTGATGGTCGACTACGGACATCCTTGAAGCGAGTAAATAGACCCGTCCCCAAGGAAAAACTTTGTGGAATGTCTGCAAATTAAATCCGTGTTAATTTAGGAGACAATCCTATCAGCATGTCCAAACCAACCATTCCCCAATTTTAATATTTCGAAGCAATATTAGAAACGATCGTGGTGAGATTAAATTACTACAAAAGCGCACGAATACTCACCAAGTCTGGCGCAAAAATGGGGGAATAATATAATCCTCTGATTCATTGGCGTAATTCACTAAACACGATTAACAAAAATTGATCATTCACGTCTGAAAAGTATTTGGGCTAAGAGTTGACACATGTTTGACATGAACAAAGTTTTAATATCAATTTAGGGTTGCTTAAGGGTAACTATCTAATATGAAATACATTGACATGAAAATTATATATTAGCTTTTCGCGATTGTTCTGTTATTCACTTGAATTGTGACATGAATTTCATCAAAAATAACAAAATACCATTATTGTTGAAATTATTATGCTGCACCAAGACTCAATAAGGCAAGTTTATTGATCAAGTGAGTGGGTACATACCAAAACTTCATATAATATTTCAAATTATAGAGTAAGAATGTAAGTGTTATTCAGTTCGATAACTATGAACATCATGAATTCCTGAAGCTTTTTCTTGCACATAAGGCAATCACATTCACAATGACCTTTAAAATATTTTTTCAAATGGCAGGCTTTATAATATTTATCATTAGCTCTTAAACTTTGACTTCAGCTTACGCCATGGTGGGGGGGGGGGTACATATATAGCAGTTAATTGATAGCAGTTCATCAGCTGTCTTCTTGCTTCCCAGTATCTCTGGATTTCGGTCGTTGTCTTTAAGGCTGGACACCGAATCAGGTGGGTCTTCTCCATTTCCTCCTGTAGGCTACAAAGTGGGCATGTGGGTTGAGTGCATACTTTAATCTAGGGTGTTTTGCTAGGCAATCGTGTTCGGTACGTAGTCTAAACTCAGCAACGGCTTCGATTCTTGGCCAGTCGGGTATGTCGGAGAGTGCCACTGTCCACTGTTTCTCCTTTGTTCGAACTTTAAGTTCGTTGCAATCGGAGAGTGCCACTGTCCACTGTTTCTCCTTTTTTCGAGCTCTAAGTTCATTGCACCTTGAGGTCTGGAATTCTCTCCTCATTAAGGCTTTCATTGTGTGGAAAAACATCGGCCGGTCTATGCCATGGAAAATTGTTGTCCCCTTTTTAGCAAGTGCGTCAGCAAGCTCATTGCCTTTAATGCCACAGTGACCAGGAATTCATTGAAGGACCACTGTTTTGTTTTCTCTCCCAACAGCTGATAGAGTTTTTTAACATTCGTACATCTCTGCTGTTTTGGGCGGCTCTGTTTCCAACTGAGTTTATTGCTGACTGCGAATCCGAAAGTATTACTGCTTTGATAATTTCACCTTTGCTATATAAAATTGTTTTAACATTGAAATGGATTTATTAATTACTATCATTGAAATTATAAATTGTTGCTTTCATATTTCAGAATACATTGTATTTTAATTTAGGATTCATAGAAGAATTTTGAATTAAATCAAAATTTTAAGTGATGAAACTGATATTTTGCTGTGATAAAAGTTATATTTTATTTTTAACAATTTTCTCGATCAACTTGAAACACACTGCAAGCCGGCGAGCAAGTCAAATTTTGGTATCCCGTGCCATGAATCAGTTAAGAAAGCTCGTTCCTGTTGGCAGTAGCGGAATTTTAGGCCTTGCTGGTCTTGGACTTCTTGGATATGGTGTCAAAGAATCCTTCTACACAGGTATATTAATAAAAAAATTGATAATCCTTATTAGTTGATGGTGGTCATCGTGCTATCATTTTCAGTCGTATCAAGGGTGTGAAGTCGGACATTTATCCCGAGGGCCTTCACTTTAGGCAAGCTATTAGTAATTTTTTATGCTTTATAAATCTATAGAATTCCTTGGTTCCAGTATCCTATCATCTACGACATTCGTTCAAAACCCAGAAAGATTACCTCCCCCACGGGCAGCAAAGGTACTCTTTGTTTGAAAATGTTTAACATTTTTAAGCACCTTAATAAATATTCAACTCATCTTCTGGCAATTTTAGATTTGCAAACTATCAACATCACTGTCCGTGTATTGTCTCGCCCTGAGGTGTCAAACCTCCCTGAACTTTATCGTACCCTGGGCACAGATTTTGATGAACGCGTTCTTCCCTCAATTGTCAATGAAGTCTTGAAAGCCGTTGTGGCAAAGTTCAACGCAAGTCAACTTATCACTCAGCGTCAGCAGGTCTCTCTCCTAATTCGTAAACAGCTTATCGATCGCGCTCGTGATTTCCACATTGTTGTCGATGATGTCTCTATCACGGATCTTACATTCTCACACGTATATGCTAATGCTGTTGAAGCAAAGCAAGTACGACTCCGGTTTTTAGTGTTATTCTGCATAATGTTTGTCCATTAATTTTTCCCCCCTATTTGCAATTAGATTGCTCAACAAGAGGCTCAGAGGGCTCAATTCTTAGTTGAAAGAGCTAAACAGGAACGCCAGCAGAAAATTGTTATGGCTGATGGTGAAGCTCAGGCAGCTAAGTTGATCGGTGATGCTCTTCAAGCAAACCCTGGTTATCTCAAGTTGAGAAAGATTAAGGCTGCTGCAAATATTGCCAGGACGGTAAGTACTACCAGTTTGTCGTCTCCGTGTCCTTCATAATGTCCTATTCTACGCACCTTTTTCTTTATAGGTTTCTCAATCGGCTAACCGAGCTTATCTCAATGCTAACACACTTCTTCTTAATCTGTCTGACCCTCAATTCGATGCCAGCGTTGAAAAGGTTAAGAAAAGATAAATGCGCCTCAGTCCTTGTATACTGGCTTTAATTGCTTTGTATCGTGATGTTGTGTTACACGCCATAGTAGTAGTGACCGAATTCGTGGTAATCGCTACCACGTCTGCTGTATTTCCCCTCTATTTTTACGATTAATTAAATACTGCATTTTTGATGTAGTCACTTCTTCGCTTTCGTGGTCCTTTATTTCCCAAACTGATATCGTCAATTTTTTTCACCATGTCGGTCGTATTGGGTTGGATTACTTCGAAGTTAAGGGCTTGCATCTCAAATGCGTTGAATTTTATTTTGCTAATTTTGTCATAAATTTCTAGTGACCGAAGTTTTGCGACTTACATAAGAATCAATAATCGCTTATTTTTAACACAGTGTAGCAGGAAAGGTCACAGTTGGAATCCTAATTACGTAACTCAGCGGGTCCATTCTGTTCATTTTAGTTTTAGTAGACGGGTGATTAATTGATTGTTTTAATTTCGTACTACTATATAATACTTAAGTATCTGTTTAAATGAGCACTCGCTATTATTTTACTTTTGATACCACTTCTGTTTACTATAACTGCGATGGTCTATTTTAATTTCCGCCTGTTGATTGTTTCTGTTCCCTTTTCTAAGCAAACTATTAAAATGAACTCATTTTGAAGTTCACATTGCTAGAAGACTATATGTAACAACTTATAAGTCAATTTTTAAACATTTAAAGCGCACTGTGGTTCCTCCTCACATCTATCTCCGAATTTCTTACATTCCTCTTCACTCCAGTAGGTAGATATGCGTGATGGTTGAGACTGAAAGCGTTTCATTGTCCATAACTTTGTCGGTTGTGGTTTCGATTGTGGCAAGGGAATCACCGCGTGTGTTGATTTGAGTGTATCATAAATTGGTGGTGTCTTGCTTTTAATCTTGGCCAACCTCTCTATGCTAGGTAGATTTGCTCTATAAATAAAAGTGGTGAATTATAAGTGACTTAAAGTAACTATGAGATTTGTGTTAGTGCATGGTCGTGTCCGAAATTGGACGATTAAATTAGCACGATAATCGATTATCATAACCAGCGACGATGGTTCGGTCAGGATTGTAATCGACATGAGTACGAAAATAACAATTAAAAGGACAATGTAGTGCATTTAATCATATGAGTATCTCAACTAAACGATAATCCAATTTCACCATCCAAACAATCAGCTTTCAACATACGAAGTTACTAAAGGAGACAGCGGAATAATCATAATATTTGGATCATTGGAATAGGTAACAGTAAACAGTGCTCAATATATAACTCTGCTATAGTGGATGTGAATTAGCCCCACCTGTGGAGTATGCAATCTTAATACGATTAAAACTGCGCATCAAAACTTCATAGAGGGAACGATCGTGCGTCCAGTGAACTTCTCAGCTAGTAAATCAATAATGTTCATTCATGTTATGTTAAATATATCCAACTAATAAACATGTTTGCCGCTATACACATGATTTCTCAACCATTGAGTTGGCTTATCTAGTTACGGGGTCTTTGCCTAATTGGGACCCTTGGCATAGAGATTACTGCTAATAAGTCTAGGCTTATTCGTGTGGCAATCCATTAAATGTCTTAAGGTTACTTTTCTGCCACTTATCAAGTTTTTTTTCGGATTAAGTCAAGATCTATGCAAATATGCTACAAAAAGTGGGCATAGAAAGTGACTGCCTTTAGTATGAATTGTTACTTATTTATAAGGGACTTACTCAATGGCCTTTCGATCAAATTCCCTCTTATAATAATGCGATAAAAGGCAATCGATATTAGAATTTTGTGGGTTTCTAATTCCAAATGTCATTTCCACTGGAAATTCAACTTTCTGGTTCAACCTCTGATAACGCGAATGATGATAGTCTTTCTCCTTCCGGAACTTCATCCATTCGGACATTGTATGAATTCCAGCCTTTGCGCTCTCCTTATTTATCCTCATATAATCAACTCCGTATAGTCCTACGCCTGGACTTGGCTTAAACTTACTCCAAATTAGGCATTTATTGAGACCATTTGGATCTTGCTCACTTCTCTTTCCATAAATGAAACATGATGGGGGAAGTGATCTACCTCGGATTAATGCTCGACCCAATGGAGCCCGTCTTAGTAACTCATTCTTGAACATTGAACTCCGAATGGTTCCCATTTGACCTGGCGCAAGGTATTCTGCTTCCCTTAATAACTCTCTACCAGCGTTTGTCTTAGGCATGATGCAGCTCAATTCTGAATTGTGCCTTGTCCATTTATGCATAACTTAACAAACCATGTATGTGACCATATGGGGCGATCGATAATGCTCCAATGAAAGCACGCGGCTTGGAGAAAATTTGCATTTACCTGCATTCCCCATTGAAAAAAACGCACGCCTAGTGATAACCCAATGTGAATGCATGTGGTAATTAGCTTTTTCTCGAACTTTCACCATATGTTCTTAAATCATTTGTCATTTAATTTTGATTTAAATATCATCATCATATGTCTATGCTATTGTTCACAGATAGTAAGTTTTAACAATGACAATAACTTTTGGGTTGTCTTTTATTACAAATTAATATATTTCTAGTAGCCTAATGCATTTATAATGTAGCGGATTAGGTACTTCAATAAGCCTTGACCATTCTCAGAAATAGCTATAGCAGATCTTCTACTCGATCGGTCTGCTACTCCGAGCAGTAGGAGAGACAGACGTATAACACAGGGCACGTTTATTGCAAATTGTGATATCGACAAATGCGAATAGTGCTAGAATAGTGCTTGTGCATGAAAATTGTTGAAATTTTACGCAATCTAATGATTGGCAAATGCCAAAGTATCCATGCGTACTACTGAAACAAATCATTTTCCAACAGTATATATGAAATCTTATTTTCACTAATAAATCCCTGGCTTCTAGATTAATTTTAATTTTATTAGCCTCTCTCCCCTTGGGATCTGAGTAAGGTAATAAATTTCATAATAATGGGGTTGATCACACATTACACATCGAGGCAAAACATATTAGGAAGGTCAATGAATGCTTCTCAATGTAGTTGGCAAGGTAAGTCTTAGCCCTGAATATGTTTAAGAACTACGGGAAGGGACGTGTAGCGGACTTAGAAATCTCTATATGCCCGTATCTCCTATATCTGGCTAACCCCCCCTGAACTAGCTAAGTAACTGCGAAGGTAGGGAGGTGAGAGATGTATTGCACAGAACACGTTCATTGCAAATTATGATATCGGAAAAATGCGAATAATTAGCAGATAAATCTAACATAATTTTAGTGGACATTAATACCAAAGCTCTACGTGTACGGCGTACTCTCCAAGTCCTGGTGTGTCCCACAGGCGTAAATTAATGAAAATGACATTTTCTTGTTAGAGATGAAAAATATGGGCAAGCACATGAAAGTCTATCTATTTATTAAACTAAATCTGTGCTGCATTTAAGGATTTATTAGACAAGTGACATCCTTGATGTAGACAATATTAAATACATTACGTCGCTAAGTATAACAGAAAAACATCCATAGCATATGTAAGTGAATATTGGCATAATTTAGGTATTTACCACGACAAAGACAACTAGCTGAAGGCCCAAAATGTTAATTTTGAAAACGAGGAATAGCAATAGAAATTGCTAATTAAACAAAGTGACAACAGTTTACTTTTGATTTCTCAAATAAATTCCATTCAAATTTTCTAGATTAAATACTTAGTGTGCGCTTAATAGTTAGACTTAATCCAATTCGAGTTACAGCTGTTTCTCCTCTAGGGTGTTCTTACTTCTTAATTACGCAAAATTTCTGATAGTAAATAAGATGTTTGACAAGATGGCCGTCAAATTAAATTTGAAAGGTGAACAGTATACGCAGAATGGTGCCTGTCTGATTAATATGCGGGTGCATTTAGGTAATTTATCTGGAGTAAAGGCATTCTTTATTGTAATAGTCGTCCATTATATTAAGCTAGAGTCTTATTGAAGATATATTAAAGAGACATTGGGAGAGCAGTTTGTCCGGTTTGCTAACTTACACCCTCTTTTTCTATCTCTGATTCTGAGTAAACCGTAGCATAGATACATTCATTAGCACTATTTCTCCAAGAGACTATGCGCTATAGAAAAGTCGTACTTTACAAACGAGGACCACAGAGAATGTTAAAAGTAGTATTTATTATACAAATAAAAAGATAGCACGAGAAAGCTCAATAAGGTGTGCAGAGATAACTAATTTTCATGATTGGTTATACTGCTTTAAACGGGATCACGAATTGTTACATCACCAGAGATTAGACATTCGGAACTTTCATTTGGTATAACAAGTGATCATGCGCTTTGTTGCCTCGTTGAGGTGAGCGATATACTTACCTCCAAGTACTGCACTCTGGGCAACTTATACTCATAAGGCCGTTGACTTCTGACTTCAAACTACCATGCCCCTACGATAAGTCATATTTGTTCGCTTCCACAGTACTCTCCATACCTTTTTCTCTAACTTTCTGCTTGTCTCTTTTACATCTGTGAAACACTCTTCTGTCCTTCCTCTCGACATTTTATGACTGAGAAGACAGAAGTAAACAAAAGGTCTAATGATAACTATCATGAAGCCTGCTATTTGATATAAATAAGTAAATATCGTTGAGAAAGCTTAAATAATTTCTGGAGGCAATTCATACTAGGGGATGCTGTCATAAAAATTACTTAGTTTAAGTCAAGGCTAAGATCGCAATGAATTCTACATATTAAAGAGGCGTAATGTCAGAAAACTACATCAAAACACCACATAGAGTGTTTAATGGAATAAATGTTAAAATTCTGATATTTTCAAAGCGATTGATACACATTTCCGATAATCTTTAAAGAATGGAAATGGAAATAAAAGAGAGTGATTCCAAAAGTCAGTTGTAAAGTAAAATGGCTTTAAAAATATAATACTTTCAAGATATTCATAAGGCAGTTGAATCACTTGGATCAATATTCTTTAAATTAAAAAAAATATAGGAGTTAAATTTTATACTGCAGTCTTTGCCCTTTTGTCTGAATAATAGTCATGAAAGAATGCCATCTGACAATTTCATTTTTTTCGAGAAAATAATATAACCCAAGCCGAAAACTAACCAAGTTAATTCGGTGAGTGTGATACGGGTCCAAAATGCGAACCAATAAAGAATACGAAATTGTTCCGATTGCCTGAATTTCCGTAAAAAATATGAAAGAATATTAAGCAGTTTCAGACTCTTATCTAAAGGTGCACTCCCAGTAACAGTACCTGGAGGAGTTAATATAATAGCCTCATCTAGAAGAAATGTTATAACTCTTTTAATGAAAATAAAATGGGGCTTCTAAGTGCAATTTTACAGACTAAATCCTCAAGACTGTGGAAAAATCACTCTGTTTAAACATGGTAATTGTAGAGGCGAATTTTGTCCCATAATACTAATAACCTAAATCATCTACTTGAAGCAAATAAAAAGGAATAAGAATATGATTAAATATGAGTTTGGATTGAAGATAAATAAAAAGAATTAAAAAATTATCAAAAAATTTTAGGCTGAAAATATCCTGCTAAACATTCTGTATAAAGTGAAAGTTTTTCCATTTTATTCATAATCGAAACTTTAATTTCGACGTAAACATGTTGTACGCTTGATCAACCTTATCTATTAGGTCTCTCAAATTAGAGGTAACTTTTGCTTTATCGAATGCAACTGAGAATGTCAACACAAGTTTTAACGGTTATTAAGCGCTTAAGCCCAATTAATTTGCAATGAGGGTTTTAATTTATTTTGTATTACGATGCTTAGGCACTGATTAGTTGCATGTTATAGCCAAGTTTTAAAAAATGCATTCACAAGAGAAAATGCGTCAAGATTTCATAGAACGCATTTTGTTTGAAATTTAAAATGCTAATGGCGTAATGAATTTTAAAGGAATTCTATTTAACTGACTAGTTTTCAAGGCCACGTAGAAGCCTATAAAGTATAATCTCGTCCTAGAGGTCAGGACCAAGTATTTAATTTTGATTGAAGGTAAATTTTGAGTTTCGGCGTCATTTAAGTATTTATCTATTTAGTATTCAAGTGTTTTATCTATTTCCATTTATATAGATTATTTGTAACTTTGGTATTTTATTTACTTTGAATTTGTTGACTTATTGGTATGTAATAAGCTGTTATTGTTTAATCGGTTAGGATTTTCACTGGAAAGAACGATCAGATGCTTTTTTGTCTGCTTCAGATATGTTTCCATCGGCAGCTAACATTCCGGAAGGAAAATCCGAGACACAATCTCCTAATGGAACTAGTTGGCTGCATAGCACATCCTACGTACCTAAGGTTATCGAATCGAAATCAAATAACCCCAGGAAGAAGCATTTAAATATTAAGTGCGAAAATATACCTAAGTCTGTTTCATTACTTGTAATACTATAATTTGAACTATTTTTCTACTTTAGAAAACGGAAAAGGCCCCACAGTCCATCAATCGACGACCACATTAAATCGGAGGTGATAGATGTGGACTTTATAATAGACACGAAGGGAAATCCAGCTCTTTTGGAATTTGGATGCACATACGAAGGTGATGTTCCTAAATTTAACGAGAACGTAAGAATCCCCATTCTCGGCTGCCCTAAAAGGCTTCGCATAATCGATCTCGAGCCTGATCTTCGGGAAAAGGAAACCAAGCACAATATTTCTCGGCGATACTTTTCCAAAAAGAATCGGTCACTTTTAGCCAAATGCGTTGTCGGCCAGACTTTGTCTCCAAAGATAGAGTCCAGAAATGAACCAGGGCGTTCATTTTACACAGTAGTTCAGGAAGGGTTAATTTCTCATTCAGAGTCTGTTGAATCGATTTCAATATGTTCAAAGAAAGTTGATAAGGTTGCAGATCTTAATCGAGCCGTTTATGATAACCCCCAAGACCTCAAATCTTGGTTCGAACTGGTTGAACTCCAACCGTCGAATGTCAATAATCAAGACGAGGGGCAGAGACCTCTGGAAAGCAGTATTAGCAACCGATATGCCATTCTAGATCGTCAATTAGCTGTTGTTGAACGAGCGGCAGAAAAGAATCATGGAAATCTTCGTCTGCGTCTTCTCAAGGCCGCTATGTATGAATACGCCACTGAGCTGATAACAGCTGGTGCCTGTCGGAATTCCTCAGAAGCTCACACCAAAAAACACAATGTTGCACTTGAATGGTATGATCTGGTTCGTGTTTGCCCACAATTTGTGGGTGTTTGGAGGGGATATTTATCCTATTTGAGAGGAAGATTTGCGGTGCTCGATTTGATGGGTGGAGACGGAGAACAGAGGGACTCTTTCAATAGAATCAATGGACTGTATAGACGGGCTTTAGATACCTTATCAGGTCTTGTGGTTGGAAGAATTGTTTCACATAGGCCGACTGACAGTACTGCAGATGAAGCAGTTGGTAAGTTTATTCGTTTTATTACTCTGTATTTATTGTGAATTTATACAGTTTTAAATGGTTGAAATTCGTATGTTGATTTTAAGTACGTTATTTTTGGAAAGCTACAGTGGTGGTGTAGTGATCAGCGCTTGTTTCACTTTCAATTAAAGGGGTCGTGACTCTCGCCAATTTGACATATTTAGCATGCTATGCGATGGACCCTTCTGGGAACACATTTTGACATTTATTGCCCTAATTACAGTAGTTACAAAGATGAGCGAAATGTACTTGACCATACGAGGAGCAAAGAATTAACAATGCGACCATACTCTTAGAACCTTGCTACCACAATCTGGAGTTCTCGGTCTTGATAAGTACCATTTGGTAATTTGTAAAGTTTAATTTCCAATGTTTTTTTCCAGTTTCTTGAAAATGCTCTAGATTCCATTTCATGGATTTTTTTTCATTAATTTTTTGACACTTTTATTATTCCTATGTCTTTGTTAAACATACTAAACCTGGTACATTATGAAGGTAGCACACATTAAAAATCCTTCGAAATTTTCCATTAAGTTTATTGCACTTATTGGGAGTTCATCAAACCATTGGATTTTTCAGTTTATTTTCAAAATATCTTTATTTCGGATTTTTACCCATTGACATTTTAGTTATAGCTTAATCAGGTGATTATAACTGTGTTTTATAAAGTAGTCTTTATAACTAAATCCTGCTTATTGTAGATCTTCTGGCCGAGTACTGTCAATGGCTCTCCCAGACGGGTTTCACTGAACGGGCCTTCTCAATTTGGCAGGCTCTCATTGAGTTTACTTGTTTCTGTCCACCTGGTCTTCAATCCCAAGGCCTTTCCACCTCATACCAACAGCGAAGAGAATTTAAAAACTTCTGGACTGCGCCTGATCGCGGACCCGCTTTTGGTGTTCCTGGTGCTTGTGGCTGGGCTGCATGGGATTCGGGACGGAGTCATGGAACTGGTGGCAGGAGATTTGCCGATGGTCTTATCGCTACAGATCCTGATCCGGTGCTTGCTGAATTGGAAGAGGATTGGGGGCCTAATTCTTCCACGGCGGAGGCTAGATGGAAAAGGATCGTTAAAGATTGGAGTGGTAAGTGCAATTACTAATCTGTCATTTGTAAATAGTTTCTTTGTCTCTTATTTTAATAATATGTTTCCAAAATGTGTGATTATGGAAATACAAAAATTGTTGTAAGTCACTAACCGACTTTCAGCAATTTTTTCTGTTTTCTTCGAAATAAAATTTTAACCGTCCTCAAAAGTACTATTATGGGGGGGGGGGGGGGGGGGNGGGGGGAGGGAGTCCTATAGAAAACGCGAACTATTGTGAAAATCTTTACTTTTCGTGTCAGTAATCTTGGAATTTCACCACCTTCTCTTTTGTGAGTTAGATTTTGGATGTCCGACATTTTCTTGTCAGCGTATAGAAAGAGTCTTACTTTACCTATTATTTGACTTGAGTTGCTGAATAAAACCTTGTCTATTGTATCTAATGCTTATTGAGTGGAAAGGTCAGTCTCACAACATCAAATTTCTTTTTTTTTCTTTCCAAGATCGGGGAAGCAGGTTGATAAACCAGATAGAGGATGTAGATGTCCAAAACAGATCAAAACTGGCAAATCTCAATAAAGGATAATTTATTTCGATCAAGGGGACTATTTAATTTCAATTATTACAGTTTGTTTAATTGTATCTAACAGAACATAACCACTCCGAGTTTCATTGAATTCGCACTGTATGCAGACGTCTTCATACTGTAGTTAATTGAAATATTAATTTCACATAGAAACAGGTTGGCAGTATAATTGGGCGTCAATACGCCCACATGTCTGTGTACAATCATGATGAAACTAGGCTCTAAAATGAAAATCGATGGGAGAGTGACGAATTCCTATCTTTCAATAGAATAGCGATAAAAGCTCGGGCACGCATCCAGGTGTGAAAATGTATGCACAAATCAATTATTGTAGCAGTTATTTTAAAAAAATTATTGGAAATGAAAATTTATTACATTTGGCATTTTCAAAATTCAATTGCATTTAATTAATAAATCGATTAAGATACGTAATACTTTCCTGATTACTTTCTATTAAAATCTAATCTCAGCTTTTCCCTGAGTAAACTTCTAAATATATCTTTTCTTGAAATTTCTATTTAAGTGTTCAATGCGGATTGTTGTTTTTTTTCAGTCATACCGATTATTGATTTATTAATTAACAGTTCCAGACGTCAATTGCGTTCACGATCCCCCTTGTGAGGTCATTGTGATGTTACCGCATTCCTATTGGTTCCTCTCGGTTATTGCCATGCTAGTAGACATGTGCTCACATTTTTTGAACGCATTGCGTTACTGCTTTCCTAGTTCACTTTTTGCCTTTGTTCATATGTTTTAAATTGGTTTAAACTGTGAACTTCAATGTGTAAATGTTTAAGCCTACTTAAGATCCTTTCAGTAGCGTACTAACTTTAATGTCATAAAATGTCGCTTTCTAATACAAGCAAAGTTGATAACCCCCTTGCGTTACGCGTACCTAATTTGAAGAGTTGCACAATCACATTGTGGATTAATCTCTTCTCAACCTTCTTATCTCTCACTTCCTCGCTCTGTTCAATAAAAGTCTATCATAAGCACTTCAACCGAGAAACTGGTTAAGGTCATATCATTTAAATGTAGTCGATCAACTACTTGACAAATGTGTGATCTCACTGTGTTTTGGTGATATACTTAGCTTTTTTATCTCTTTGATGTTTTGTGTATATAATAATTGTTAGTGAGTTGGCAATTGATTATGCAATCGTAACTTTGTCAATACAGTTTTCATGGGGCATAGAAGTAGGCGTAGGATCGCTAATTTCATTTGCTGCTATAGTAGTTGAATCATCGGAAGCTTATTCATAGGCTTTTGATTTCAAGAACAAGATATCAGAATATGGTCAATGGGTCTCAAATTGAATCTGGATATCCTATAAAATCTCAAGACTTTTAATTAATTTAGTTTAATATCACGGCTTCAAGCATTCAGAACTGTGGCATTTGTGTCTCTTCGTGTTTGTCAAGTAAATGCACTTAGAGTAACAAAGGAGTCGGGGGTATGGATAGAGTCTTAGCAACAGTAATGTATTTTGATAATGGCTTTCACCAATGATGGCCCTGCTGTACCTTGGGAGCGTCCAATTCGTATATACCGACTGAGTTCATGGTATACAGAAACAGAATTCCTTTCTACTTTGATTTATCTTCTCCATAGATATTGGCGATGCTGCTGAAGATGCCCTCCTAAATTACGGCGTCAATCTTCCCAAAATTGTAACTCACGACTCTAAAATTCATCACTCCACCGAAGGGAGCCTCAACAGTCGCCGATCCCGTGGTCTTGCATGGCTTGGTCTAGAAAGAGTTCGTGAATCCGTCGGTTGGTTGCCTGCAGACGCCACTATGGATGATCCTTCGGTGTTGGAAGATACGGAAAGAGTTCCGAAGTTTGAAGACATTGAGCCACTCCTCCTGGAAGTTCATTTGGATCCAAAAGTCTTGGATGAGTCTCTACTTCAAAGACGAAAACAGAGAATGATTTTACTGTTCCTTGAGTTTTTGGGAGTTTGGGAGCCGGATGTTGCCAGGACTTATAAATTGCCTGCAGGTAAAATTTTGTTAATGATCGTATAAAAATGGAACGTTAAGGAATTATTCCGTTCATTTCTCTTGCGTTTGTATATCCATTATGAAAAGGTTCATTCAGTGCCAAGCTCTGGTTTTGGAGGGTGTTGTAGGCAAAATTATAGTATTACTATTCTTTTGATGTATTCGAAATATATTTACATTGACCTAACTTTTTAATCTGCTTGTTCGTTTCCTTGAGTGAAAAATGGTTTAATGGCATGCTTTTAACAAGCGGGTGGGTCGAATCGCCATTTACTCTAGTTCCCTATGTCAGGGAAGCATATGCGATTTAGTAGCTAAACGCCGTAGTTAACATTGAAGGTTTCCTCCTTATTCTCCGTTATCCTTCATAATCCTGTCTATTCAATAGTCTACCTTATTATTTATCAAAGAAGCTCCTTTAGCTGAAGCAGTGCAAAATAGAAAATGGACTAAAATATACATAATGAGGAAGCGACCATTCTAACACAATGACCACCATGGTATTTAGGTTGAGTCCATTTCACCAGGCTGGCTGATCTTCCAGTTCTTCAGTAGAAACTCATTTGGTGACATGAATGAGACCATTTCGGTAGCTTCGGTGCATAGATATTGATAATTGGTACGTGGTCTTGGCCAATGGCAATCTAGTCATAAAACGAATCCTCTTGTACTTTTCCTAGACGGTTTTAATCTTATCTAGTATTGACAAGGCAACATTTCACTTGTACCAAAACAGTCCTATCTAACATAATTTTAATTTCGACTACTATTAGGTTTTACTTATAGCTAAACTTTAATTCTTTAGAATTAGAACAACTCCACGAGCTCTCTTCTGTGAGTTGTCTCCAACGTCAAGCCATAAATCCTCGTCAATTTGGCTTCCCTTGGCTACGTCCTGGTTTAGAAAATCTTAGCAACACCGGTTCCGTTATCAGTTATCGGATGCGTTCTGTGCTAGTATCTTCCAGTCTTGAACAAGCGTCCCGCCTCTTCCCAACAGATGTTGTCTGGCAGTCGTCAATTAGGCGTTTGATGTTCCACTATTTATCGTCGCAAATTGAGCAGGCGTTGTCAATGAATCAAATTACGCCAAAGGTATAAAATCACCTACTTTTGAAATTTCATTTCTACTAAAATGCATTTCAGCAACTAGTTCTTTTATTTTAGGCAGCACTAACACTATGGAGAAAGAAAGCAAAAGGCCTACTTGAACAGTCGCAGAGTGATTTAAATTTGTGGTTAGCTTATGCCAAAGGCTTGACTCGGACTGCCTGTGCAGTTTCAGTTGTTAAATCGCCTCTTTTTTCCGAAGCTCGAAAGGTGTTCACTTCAACACTTCGCATGTTTCCCTTACCTGCGGAGCTGCCGACTAATTTAGAGGAGCAGTTGAATACCCTTTTACCACGATTGAGAATATTACACGCTTTTGTAGAATTTGAACTGGGTGTCAATTTCTCAATAGACCAAACAAAGAGTCACTCTCATGTTGAGTGTTTTAATCGCATTTTACATCTTATTCAGCACGCCGCTATTGGAGGTGCCTTTATTCCCGTTTCGGAAAAAGATGTTCAGACAGTTTCTGTGATCCCAAACGCTGTTGACGAACTTGATTTACGTCTCGAGGCTTTGTGTAGCCAATCTTCGCATTCTTCTGAGTATAACTATATCTCAGAAATGGCTGCCATTGTGGCTTCTCTGCGTCTTTGTTTGCAGTTAGTAACACAGAACGAAGTGGTAAGTGGCTGCTTTATGACAGTATTTGGCCTTGCAATCCATTCTCTATTCAATTTAAAAGTTTGGTCTATTGAGTTTGTTTTATTAGCGAATTCAATTAAGTCGCAGAAGTGTGGTAGATTTGCCATTACAAGATTTGCCAAGAGGAAAAGGATAGTAGAATTTCCTTCTTGAAAAGTAGGGATCTTAGAGGTTTGAGCTTTGATTATTGTCTCTTTGATATTCCTGTCTCGAAACGTATGATTAGCTGAGTCTTACTCCTTGTCGGTTCTTGGAAGTAGAGGCTTATATTCGCTTGTTTTTCCCATTGGTATCAGGTATTTTATAATGATGAGAGGTGTATTTCTTAAATCAACGAAGTATATTTAAGTTGGGGTTAAGTTGAGCTATTGCTGCTATCAAGCAAACTAGCTCATGCTTTTTAAGGAAGAAGTAATCAGCTCTCTAATAAATTTAAACCCTTTCTTTTTGAAGTCCAAATCAATTCAAAGCGAAGTGATTGTTTAATATTTGTTTGGCATAGCAAAAGCTGAGTTACAAATAACTAATTTCACAAACTTCGTCAATCGCATATTGGGCCATTGATTAGTGGATTTCTACGCTTGATCGTGGTAATGCTTTTACTGGACATATGAAGTTATCAGCTATACAGTTAATCAATTTAATCCATGATCCTAAGGTGTATGCAATGTTATAATCGTCTAGTAAGGGCCTAGAATGCTTTGGAGTTACAAGTGCTTTTTCCGGGGGCCTGGTCGATTGCTGAAATCAAGATGATGGTTTTGAGTGATAAGAAGCAGTAAGATGCGACAGTCTCATGATCGCAAATATTCATGAACATATAATCTGATGAGTTGTTATAGTTTAATTCTGTTAGTGGTCATGCAGGCTATTCCTTTTTTGTCTCTAGTATTATCAAATATATGTTTATTTCAAATGGCAGGCGTTTTGATAATTATCATTAGCTCTTTAGCTAACTTCGGGTTTCACAAGGGGGAGGAACATCAGTGGGAAAAATTCGAGGGTGGGGGGAGTAACAGAAGAGTGACTCACAGACGTAAAAGGGGTAGACAGACACAAAGGCAGAGAAAAGGTAAGATGAGTTCTGTGAAAGTGAGAGTATATGACATGCCGTGGGGTCATAATATTTTGAAGTGAGAAGTCAACTGCTGGTTTCTAGACTTTTTGTCGTGTGAGTATACGTTGCCCAGTGTGCACCACGTAGAGTTAAGCCTATCGCACATTCCGTATTATCAAATGTTATGATAGTATTCGTTATTACCACTGTACTGCGGTGGCATCGTTAGAAGATAGGCTGTTTTAATTGGATTGGCTTAAGTGTGATCTTTTCCTTCTCGGTACCTTTAAACGGAAATTATTTGATGAAATATCAATTGCTGCTAACAGGATAGAAGCTGTGTCTTTTCTGTGGAAATAATTATGATAATAAATATGGAAAGCTACTGAAAATGACAGTTGTAGGAGTTTCAATGGAAAGTAAAGAGAGTGATATCACGCAAAACCCTGGGGAATGGTGATATGGAAAGTCATCACGTATGAAATATTAAATGTATCTGCTTTATTTGTTTTAGAATTTCCATGATACTTGTGAAAAGATCTTTAAATCTCTGCTCCGCGTCGATTGTGAGGAGGATAGGCAGGTGGGTGCAGGCTATGCATCTAGGTGTTTCCTTCGCTTGGTGCTACCAATTCTTTCCACCGTGAGTACTCTGCTTCAACGCAATCGCACGAGTCTAATTAACATACTACTTGGCGTTATGAGTAACATGTTTGATATCAATTCGACAATGCCACTCCTAACATCGCCATTTGAATGGACTCATCTCCTGCCTTTCAAAGTAGCGGCCAATTGCAGAGCTAATGCGGATAAAACATGTACTATTGAGTAAGTAATTCTCCCAAATTCATTTTATGTTCATTAAAATTGCAGTCCAGTGTTCTTCTGCCTACTTCTTTTTCGTTCTAGAATCTTGAGCTTCCTGGTTACTCATAAGGATAGAAATTATCTAAACGATCTCCTTATAATCTTACTTTTTCTATTTAAACCCTGCGTTTCTACTGGGTGGGTTCGCAAATACCATATCTCGAGCTTACAAAGTAGTTGGAATAATTACATAGTTAATCGTGCCTCCTTCAAACACTTACATCTTTTAAAATCCATGATTGGCGGTCTCGCTTATTCACACAAATTGGATATATTATCGTGTAAACTTCCATGTGATTGGTGAACTGTGCAATTACATTTGAAGCACATTGATAAATTGAATAAGATGGACATTGGGGTGCTGTCGCATCTACTCGCCTGTCGTAAGGAAGATGAGTGCATTTCTTCGTTGCCAAGGCGAAGAATTCATTTATTTTTTTCACCAAGTTGCTCCTGGGGACAAGAAGTGCATCGATTACGTCAAGTTTAGTGGAAAATACAGTGGTTGGTCTCCAAATCAAACACCCATCCTATCCCCTAAACTAAGCCGCGGTTGACCCTTTTAAAACCCCTTCTCTGCATTTGGTGGGATGTTTGTGAAATAATCCAAATATCTCATTAAATAGCTATTCTTACACTTGATTGTTGAAAATTAGTTTGTCTATATTAAAAAAATTTATAAGTAAATTCCCAAAATTATTGAACAGAAAATGGATAAATCTTCAACAACAGCGTCACAGTGCCGGGTCTTTTTCTCCCAAAACCTCCCCCCTACCTCCCACAAATCAAGAATGAAGGAGTTGAATTGGGAGGCTCTGCCGCACCCTTCATATCCGGCACACTTCGGCTGTGTAGTCATTTATACATAATTTAAGAGTAAATTACATTTTAATGTTGTTTTGAAAGTGGAAAATTTTTTACTTTGGAAAAGAAAATGAAAAATAGAGTTTTAGGCCATGGCAAAAAGTATTCGGTGCCTATTTTCATAATTTAATCTAAATAAAGTCGAAGTTCCATAATTGGTTCGATTTCCTTGTTCCGCCGAACTCACTTTTCAACGTTTTGTTTTTTCTAAAACGATATTAACTCCTCTCGTTACATCTTTTTTTGGTAGATTGGAATAACCCCACCTTTCACCTCTTTTTCTTAAGGTATCAGCGTCGTCTCCAGGGTCTCCTTCCCCCTCTCGTTCTGTCCTCTCTCGAGTCCCGACTTACAGAAAATGTGAGGGGTGTATGTGCAGGTGTGACCCGTCACCTCATGGCCACTTGTAGTCGTGACACTGTGCGTCCACATCGATTCGACCAAGCTCCACCTCTTGCTACGGAGCCAGCACGGCTTCTTGGTCTTCCATCCTCTCAACAGACGGAAATAATGGCACGTTTGCTGCCTTCCTCGCTAGATCTCCTCTTTGTGGGCCTGGAGTTGGAACATTGGACCTCTCTTGTTGCGGGCACAGACCGCGATAGTAGTGAGTAGTATTTAACTACTATTTTTGATTTTATTATATTAATGTTCTCCCCCTTTTTAAGTTGCTGCCGAACGAATTTTTTGTTTGTGTTTTTTCCTAAGATTTGTGATAATCATATTTTGATGATTTTTCTCTTTGTGGGTGTTGACGGTTATTGCAACGCACTCTACCTTATTTATGTTTCATTACAGCTTCAGGAAAGGGTACCCCTCCTCCCTTTAAAGCAACAGAAATGGGACGGCTTATCTTTTCCCCATTTACGCATTCACTCTAGTCAAATGTATTTTTACTTTCCCATTAGCGCTTTGAGATAGCAACTACTCCTCACAGACTCTTTCCTACGATATTTTTTATTTATCATTTGCTACACACATCACATATATTTAATGTCTATTGGGAGTGGAATGGAATGCGGAGAATTCTGTCATGAAAATGATGGTTTTGATCGCTTTTCTGCATTGATGGACCTTTCTATGTCACCATCATCTTGGCTACAGATGGTTTGAACGCCATTGGATGGAAATAGTACAAGGTGCTTATTTATAATGCACAAAGATTTAGAACTGTATGCATTTTCGTATTCAACAGTTTTCACATTTTTGAAGTTCGCTCGATAGGCGAAGAAAAGTGTCCGTTGAACCCCATTGGTGTGTTGATTCATTATTTGACCTCTAATCGATTTTGTGTGTGCGTGAAATTGTTGCTTCAGTTCGTCATGTTCTCAATTCCCTACGGGTTTGTTAATTCTCCTCCTTCTCCCTCTCAAGGTAACAGTTCGCAAGATTAGTGCTATTGTCGAGGAGACAACGTGTTTGTGTGGAGTGAGAGAGAGAGAGGTTACAAATCACACCAAGCCTATTAGAGCTACCTTCACATCTCAAGAGGAAATTACAGGTTGCTCGGAATGAATTTCATAGAATGTTGCCTAGCCGTTTCTTTTGTGGACGTGTCAAATGTGTTCACGCACACTACACTTCCTTACGGGTTGAAAGATTTCAACAGTTATGTAGATGATGATGATGATGATAAGGTGAATGGATGGTGGCTGAACCCACTTGAAGCATGATGACTTGCACGAATAGACGAAGAGCATTGATGAGGTCTTGGTGATTGTTCGCTGTTCACTGTTCCTTGTACAGTGTGGAAGGAATGGGACTTGAAGTGGAGGCTTGCAATTGATACTGTGAAATTGCAGTGACTAGAAGAAAGTGGCGTATCTGACTACCTGAACAAATTGTGCTCCCATAGCAGATTTCATCGAAGTGAAATATTCTGCTGAATAAAACTTGTGCCAACTCGTTTAAGAGTGTCTTGGGGCAATTAATGACTGCTATTTTAGGTAAGGTAAGAGTGAGCGTAGCCAGTAATAGGTCATATATGTCTCGCCAGCAGTATTCGGCTTATTCCACACCTCAGTTCGATCTCAGAAATGCCTTCGTTGATCGATTATTTATGTACCCGTGGTTGCAGAGACAAACGTTAATTGTCATGCCTGTACCAGTTAAAGGAGTTTTGAGGTGTAAAATCAATCGGGCTCGGATTGAGCCTCTGATAAACTTCAATGCTGATTATGTCGACTGGAATTCTTTTGCGCTAGCATATATTCCTTGTCTATTGAATATTTGAGTTATCCCTAACAATTTTTTGCTCGGCTAATGGAATTTCATGTTTACATTAGCGCATTGTATTCGTTTTCACAACCAAATGTGCACCCGGTCCATCACAGATCGAAATATGTTTTCTTTCGTCGTTTTCTTTTGCTTTTTTAGCCAATTTTGTTCCTGGTGGCCATGGTTATTCAACTTCTTTTATTACCATTGCTGAGCAAAATAACTGCACTTTATTTCTGAATTTTCATTAAACTTTCTTGAGATCTCGCTCCCTCTTTCTCTTGACATTTATCAGTATTTATTCTGACACGAGGAAATTCCCGCTTTTTCTTTTTACATTTCACTACAAGTCTCATCGGCAACTCCTTTGGGGAAATAACCACTTGCTGTCTCTCGCTTTCCATTTGTTTTCACATAAATAGGATTACGGCTTTTGAATATATGACTCTCTGCGAAATGTTGGAGTGGAATTTCTCTGGCTGCTGTTTATTCATTTACGTGTTCTTCACTTGATATATGTTATAATTGCTTGAGAAAAAAATTTGTGGGAGACTTGCTGGTGTTTAAATTATCCACAGCAGGAGACAGAAGGCTGTCTGCATGCTTTGCTATCTTCTTGTTTCTCGAGCAACCACGTGGATCGTCAATAATCTGCAAAGTAGTTGGGAAAAATGCAAGAGAATGTCAATGATTTATTTTGCAATCTTTTGTTGGGGAAAGCAGCTTGCATCGAGTGCAACGACAACGACAACAATTTGGAAGGAGTGAGGATCAATAAGATGTTGAGGAAAGTGCCAAATTACCAAAGGGTCTTGCCTCCTGACACTTTTACTCTTTATGCAATATTCACTAAAATGGGTTATTCATGTCCCTCAAAACCAGACTTTATGCCTTGCCCCTGGATTACAGGAAATGCTTGTCTGGTGTTATTTAATTAAATAGAATCGGAATTGTCGTTTTAATTTATTTTTTGTGATAGTTAAGAAAGCAAAATGATTTTAGAAGGTTCTCCCAGTTTACTGTTTTAATTTGCCCGAAATGGTTGGGTCTCGGGGAGGGGGGGGGGG